TGAGAAGGCCCAGAGCAGCAGAACAGGAAGGAGCCTCACTCAGCATAGCCCTTGATTGTCAACTTCAGCTAGTTAAATTGTGGACAAGAAAGTCGTCTATTCTGGCCAAGACAGAGGAAGCCCACTGCTGCCACTCTCATGGTGACCATCGCCAGAACCTATGAATGAAGTAAGAAAACCAGGCTGCTGGGGACAACAGTGAGCAGACCCAGTGACGGGTATGGTGGAGAGCCCCTCTGGGGAGCACAGTGCAGGGAAGCAGTTCCCTCTCTCCTGTTCTCTTTTACAGCCTCGCCCAGTAGGGAAGGCTGCCTACACCTCATAGTGGTGCTGGATGTGGTGTGGGAGGGAAACCTTACCTTTCTGACTAAAGGAACCAGTGAAAGGGGCCCCCACAGTCCAGAGAGTGGGTGTAGGAGTCTGTGGGGATTTCTCTTTCTTCTTTTGTGGCTCTACCTCAAGAATGGTTCTCAGTCACAGAGCAGGGGTGATGCTGATGTGAGCAGGTAAACTCTGATAGAAACTCCATTTTTTGATCAGAGGACCAGGGAAAGAGGCCCCAAGTGCTGTAAAGTGTAAGGACCAAGAAAGGAGGAGGAAAAGGGGATCCTATAGCACTGTGTGAGCATGCATGAGTTCCAGGCTCATCCTTGAGTGTGCAGGACAGAGCAAAAGTTGCTTAGCAAAGGCTTTGAGAAATGAGACTGAAACCACTGCTGACTTTCAGACCAAGCTCTGTGTGGCTGAGGTGAAGGTCATGTCCAGAGCATAGCACAGGCTCTGGACATCGGTCGCGCTGGTGCTGGTGTGACCACCCACAGAAAGCAGGATGGTATGTACAGTGTGAATCTAACCAGCAATTACCTGATTAAAAAAATGATGACTCTTCTCTTAAGAATTACATAACGGGGCTGGGGATTTAGCTCAGCGGCATAAGCACCTGCCTTGCAAGCAGGCAGCTGTGAGTTAGATCCCCGGTACCGATAAAAAAAGAAAAAGACAGAAAAAAAAAAAAAAAAGAAAAAAAAAAAAAAGAATTATATAACGAGATCCAACGTACACAGCACAGCACATTCACAATGTCTAGAATACAATCCAAAACTCTTGACATACCTCAAACTAAATGAAATGGGGAAATGTGACCCACTGTTAAGGAAAAACAAGACGTGAACCATAATGACCTGGGGAATCACTGACTGTTCCTATCTTCCGTGAGAGGAAGGTTAAATGAGGAAGACAGTTTCTTCTCAGCACAGAAATAAGAACCTAATAGAAAATTTGAACCAAAAAATACAAAATCTAAAACAAATCGATGGATGGGCTCAACAACCTAGTGAAAATGACACAGAAAACATGAACCTCAAGATGGATCAGCAGAAATTAGGACGGTTCTGAAAGACAAATCAACAGAGTACACCAGTGATCTGCTGGACAAGTTCAGAAGGTCTAACACTTGTCACTGAAGTCTCACAAGGAGAGGAGGATGAGCCCATTGTGGGAAAACTACAGGAAGAAATAATGACCAGAAAATTTCTCAGATTCGGTGGAAGACATTTTAGTAACTTCAATTTAGAATTTAAGGGGAAAAAAAGTTCTGCAGATTTTTTTCTTGGTAACTCAAACTTTTCATAAATGCCTTAATTCCTAAGCTATTAGTTAATTAACTAATTCATCTTGTCTTCGGTTAACACTTTTCATTTAACACCATAGACTATGAAAGGATCACTATTGATGCAATGTTTAAAACACTGCCAATTAATCTTATGATGCCACTGTAAATGACACGTTCTCACATTACATATGCGAAAAATATTAAATAAAAGTAAAATAAAAGTTTATCTGGGAGTAAGGACAAAACGTATGTTGTCAGGCAGCACTGAGCTAGATGCAGACACTGTGTGAACACAGTGGACATCCACCCTGACACCTAGTACTTCTCTAACATTCCTCCTTGCCCTGCCTTCATCATGTAGCAAGAAAGACAAAACATGCACTTAGAAAAACTCATGGATCTAAACTGGTAACTGGACAAAGCCTGCTGACAACGTACATAGCAAGGGAAGACCACAATCTTAACAACCGCTCAAGTTTCTATCATAATTGTCTTTCTATTCTCTGGCAGATTCTATTTACACTCTGTTTTTTCTTTTTGTTATTGTTGGTTTATGAAAAAGGTAATGTCATGGTTTATGTTTGTGTCCCCCAGGCCTCATGAGTTTGCATTGTTCATTTGTGATGGTTCATTGTCTACTGCCTGGATTGATGGTGTCAGTGCTCCACCCACATAGGGGTGGAGTCAGGATGTGATGTAATGGCAGGAAGAAGGTGTGTCTTGCTCTTTGCTGGTTCCAGCTTGCTGTTGGCGGCTGCCATGAACTGCAGCCCAGCCATGCCCGCCTGTCTTGGAGCCAACTGAGTGTGGACTGAAACCTCCAAAAACTGTAAGAAATAAACCTTTCCTTTCCCAACTTGGGCATCAGGTATTTTGTCTCAGCGACGAGCATAAAGTGACTAAGACAGGCAATGGGCTAAGTATTTTTCAATTTTTTACTGAAGTTTATTTTTCTCCTCAAAATAAAACTTATAGTATTCTACTCATGTTTACAAACTGCTAAAATTGCTTTCCTTACTTTAATAAAAGATTATTTACTTTTGTCTTAACCTGAGACAGTTTTATGTATCTTTAAAGTTTATTTCAGGGTTCAGGATGTAGCTCAATGGTATAGTGCTTGCCTAGCATACACAAAGCCCTGAGTTTAATTCCCAGTACCACAAATGAACAAACAAAGCAATGTAGTTAATTTCATTTTTAAAAAGTTCATTTCATTCTCAATCTATTTATAAAGTACTGAGAATGCAGTAGAAATTAAGTTTTTTGTTTTGTTTTGTTTTGTTTTGTTTAAAAAAAATTAGATGGTTACAGCGTTCTTAAAGTTTCATCCTTCAGTGACAGCCAAGGACGTGGTTCTCACAGCAGTTGACCTCTTATCTTGAAATAAAACGTAAGCTTCTAGGCCTGCAGTGCACCTCTAATAAGATCTCACTCATCACAGTGTAAAACCTTTGGGGAGGGGGCTTCCTTTTCCTATATTTAAAAGTCTAGATTCCTTTTTCCAGATATATAAGTTTTATTTAAAATAGAACATTTTTAACTCCAGTATTCCGAGTGCCAATGGCAGACCCTACTTGATTTGTGAAGTTTTCTTGCATCAAGCTAGTCCCACATGCCAGCAGCAGCCAGAGTGCTAAGACTAGCCTTAATTGACACTCTGGATACACCAATCCCAACTCTTAAATCACTAGTCTGTTATTTTCATCCACAGACACAGAGCTCTTTTTAAAACCATAATACTGGCCTACTAATAAAGTGAGCTCAGCATGGTCAAATATGGTCTTCACAAGGAATGAAGAGACCTCTCACCGTGGGCCTCTGGCTCTTCTGGCAGCAGGGGGCGTGAGGAGGCGGCCTGCTCCAGAGCAGAAGGACCCCTGTACTGAGACACACAGGTCTCCTAGCTGACAGCTCACTATTCAGCTGACTATGGTCGTGCCATCCTAGTGGTAACTCTTCCTAGAGCTAACTGAGCTCGGGTATGCAGAAAGCAGAGCTCTCTTCTCTGGAACACAGTTTTGGTTTCCTGTGAGCAAGCCTCTCTATGGCTGAACACCTAAGTGCTCACCCTGCAAACAAACTCTGGGGCACAATCTACAGTCCCAAACCTTTCCAGATAGCTGTCCCCAAGACCTCTCTACAGTTACTCTTCTTGAAAACAAGTAGTGGCTAAACCCACATATGGAGATCCTATCAGATTAGCTTGGAGCATACTGATCTGTTTCATTTACTGAGCCAGATGTGGGAGCCATTGTACCAAGTCTAGAAAAATGACCTGGACACAAACTGAGCTCAGAGTTCAATTCTCAGGCATCAGAAAATCAGCCATGGGAGGTAACCTTGAGAAAAAAATGATCAATTATTCCCCCCCCCCCCCCAGAAAACCCATACTCATATTATCTTTTTGCTCTAAGTAAGAGGTGAGAAGATAGAGAGGTAAAGATCAGGTATGGAAAATATTACTTGATAATTATTTTTACAAACTGCTGCACTGGTGGGACACAGGTCTGGGTCTGGGATTTGGCATGGAGGAGTGCCTGCCTCGAGCTGATACCCACCACTGAACAGCTCACCACCTGCAGCCCGGGGCTGGGCCCAGGGGAGCAGTGCCAACAGACCCTGGCCTCCAGCCAGGCTGCTCTCTTCAGGGCACTGGATCAGACACTGCAGATAATCAGCCAAAAATAAATAAATAAATGGCAGAAAAAAAGAAAAGGGAAGTGGGGGAGGAAAACCTGAAATTTGGACTTGGAGGGTCTTTTCAGACACTTTAATCCTTTCATGCTGATGGTCCTGGAGCATTCAGGCCTGGCACTGAACCCTGCATCGGGAAAATGTGACTCCCTAAGCCAGTGCGTTAAAGAGAAGGTTGCTAATCAGCTAAATAGAAACTGGAATCTGTTCACATCAAGTCTCTTTTTCCTGCATCACCAGAGGGACACCACAGTGTTCTGAAACACACTCTTGACATCATTTGGCAAGCAACCCTATTTTGTTGAACATGATTCATCCCTTAGGTTATTGTTTTTAATATTAGAAAGTGAGCTTTTAAATGCCAAACAAATTTTGTAGCAGGGAGACAAAAGATATTCCAAGTGGTCTCACTGGACTCTCTACCAACTGTGTCCACCAACTGGCCTAAAAGAAAACCGCCCCGTGGTGCTTTAGAAATGAAGCAGAGACACAACTAGATCCAACTATTACCTAACGCAAGGCTCTATTCTCCAAGTCTGGAGAGCAGCAAGAGCTGAACTCAGGTGGGTAAAGCTCCAGCGTGAGAAGTGGGGAATGCAGACAGCAGAGACCAGTCAGCACTCTGGAAGCTGGCAGGCCAAGCATCCAAAGAAGTGCAGTGCCACCCAGTACTGCCTTTTTGACTCAGACGTACCTCCTGTCCATGTTGCCACTGACCATGAGGCTGGGGGGACTGTCCCTGAGGTTGATGCAAGTGAAGTCACCAAGTGCATTACCCAACTTCGAGAGGCAGCGTTCTGCTTCCAGGCTGTATACCAAGATCTGAGAGAGGAGGAAAAACAACGTGGGTGCTCAGTTCCATACACCAGACCAACATGAAATGCTTGTGGCTTCCCCATCACACAAAGCATAAGCATTCCACTCTGCCCCTGCTAAAGAAAATGTTCTACACTCATACTGATAGTGTAGGCATGTGGCCATGAGAATGACAAAAAAGAAATGCAAAAAATGATAGAGAAAAACCCAACGAGTTTCTCAGGTCAAGGTGCAAACAGGCTTATAGACACAAAGGAAAAGCACCAAATGGGAAACTAGGAATTTGTTGCTATTGTTATTGTGGTACTGGAATGGATGGAATCTAGGGCCTTGTGCATATCATGCAAGCGCTCTGGCACTGAGCCATCTAGCTCCGGTTCACGTACTGCATTTCTTTCGTAACAGAAAAGTGGGGCATGGAAGAATGAAGGATCACTGATTATATCTCATTTGGAATTAATGGGAATGTTAAGAAGGGAACAGGAGGCTTGTAGATCACCAGGGGCTGGGGGATGGGGCTTTCTTCCCATATTTATACCCAGACGGAAAAGGATGAACAGTACATGTATCCAGGAAGATGAAGCACAGTCTAAACATCAGATGATTTCTGTAAACAAACTCCAAACCAAACAAACTCTTCCTACTGTCCTTTGCTAACTGGAGGAAGCTCTGTCCCTTCTTAAGGTATGAAAGCAAGGAAGAAGGAGCCATCAACCTCTAGACAATGTATTTATCATCTTCAACCACTTCAGAGCCTTCTCTCCAGCAAAGGGAGTGGGTGGAAATAAAGAATGAGCACTACAGATTAAGTCCTTTACTAAAAATACTTAGTAAATCAATGCAACTTAGTTCAGTTAAGATTAGGTGCTTGCTCTGGCCACTGTGATAGGTGCCAAGGAGCTCGTAGTAGGGGTGAGGAGATATCCCTGCCTCCAAATTCACAGATAAAGGCCTCTTCATTGACATAGACACATCCCATGTTCTGAACAGACCATCTACTTTGTTGATCACACAGTAAATATTTAAAAATTAATCACTAAACTCGAAAGTTTAATACTAATGCTTTGTAGCTTCTCACATCATACATGAGGAAATGTCATGCTTTCTGTTTCTCAACTGACACACTTATTACTCATCAATGTACAGAATCTTATGTTTTATTGAGAAATTAATAAATAAAATCACCTCCACCCTGAAAACCACCAGTATCACTGTCAGCACACATTTCTAACACATGACTCTAACAGGTGAAATTTCTGATAGTCAAACACTATCATAATACTAATTAATGATTGCTAACATCAGAAGGAAAGCTGATAACTTTATAGAGTTCAAACTGCCTTCTTAATTCATTAAAATTTCAGAGAAAAAAATAGGAAGTAGTTAAAAACAAGATTCTGACTCAGGAAGATTTTAATAATTATAAAATAACCAAAATAAGATCTTTCAGGCAGGAGCTGGGGATTTAGCTCAGTGGCATAAGCGCCTGCCTTGCAAGCATGCAGTTGTGAGTTTGATCCCTGGTACCAATAAAAAAAAAGAAAGAAAGAAAGAAAAAAGATTCTTTCAGGCAAGAATACAGGAATAAATCTATTTTCAGCAAATAACCTAAAAATAACATAATATCCACTATTGGAAGGACAAAAAAAGTTTAAAACAGCAACCTGATGGTGTATCAGAAAACTAATATTCTGTGACTACTTCAAAATGGCTCCTAAAGAAGATTTCTCAATGTTCCCCACACAAACAATAACCAAGTCTGAAGTAATGGCTATGCTAGCTCCCCAGGCCTGATCACCACACACTGTGCACACGTACTGAAACGCCATGCTACACCCTATAAATACATGCTACTATTTGCTGCTTTTTAAACTATTTTAAACTTTTTAAAAAGTAATCTTTTGCACTAATTTATCTTTACAGAATTTTCAATATTTTAGACTTCACATTTTCCCCACCATATTTTCTTGTTTTAAAAATACTTCCATAGCAGGAAGCTAGTCTTTTAATTAGAAATATGTCCATGGTAAATGTAAGAATTGAAATCTGACACTAAGTCAGGTTGAATCTTGACTTTTTCTAGAGTTCTTTTTGACAAGCAGAAGAATCATTTCTTTTTTTTGGTCTTTTTTTCCTTTCTTTCCTTTTTATCGGTACCGGGGATTGAACTCACGACTGCCTGCTTGCAAGGCAGGCACTTACGCCGCTGAGCTAAATCCCCAGCCCCTAGAAGAATCATTTTTGAGTGACACAGGAAGATCTAATCTCTCCCCCAAAAAACTCTACAAATTCATCACGAAGAATCTAAGTCAGTAGTCAAAAGTCAAGTAGTTCCTAAACTGTTCAATAATTCAATGAATCAGAATTACCAGAAGAGAGCCTTCACCATTGTGTTTAGTTAAAGACCACAGAGATTAGAAAACACATTACCGACTCAAAGGCGGGTCTTCCATGTTACGGGTCCCTTAACGACCTTTACCATGGCTCCCTCCCTCTGCACTCTCTCTCTTTTAATAAGGATGAGCAAATGGGACTTCATTTTATCTGAATGCCACAGACTAGTGAGATTAATTATTCATGCTCACACTCTCCCTCTTGTTAAGACCATGCATTAGACTAATTTTTCTCTTTAGTGCCTTAGCTGGGCAAGTCTCAGCCCACGGCCATTTGACTCATTCTCAGAGGTGTACAGATATGCTGGAAAGAAGGAGAACACGACACATTGCTGCAATCTTGGAGAAAATATTCTGCACTAATGTGACCACCAGGTCAACAGATGTTGGGGATTTTCTTCTCTTAAGTACTAGATGTATATTTTGGGAGAGGTTAGCCAATGATTATGAAGCAAAATTTTACTGGCACTAGATACTTCTTTAAGAAATACCAAAAACAGCTACACTGGTTGAAACTCTTCTATTCTAACACAATACTTAAGGGAAATGCAGCTTGTAGGCACAAGACACACAAGATGCAGAAGATACTATGTAAACAATAACATTGTCCAGGCAGAAAATTTTTTTGTAGATTTTAAATCATTTCCAATAAAAATTAGTCTTTGTAAATTAATGATCTTTCGTCTGTCATCACTTAATAACAAGGGACAAAGGAGAAGAATCTTAACTTTCAATTTTATTAATTTTTTGATTCCTCTGAAATCTATTTCTACAATTTTTTTTCTGATTTCAAACACTTCATAATACATCTCAAAACGGATGCTAACATAATAGTTACATAACAAAGGAAAGCCATATACATACCTATCTCTCAGGACAAATCTCTTAACAGTGTGAGGCACATGCTTTTTAGGCTTTTTAAATGCAAATCATCAGTCTCTGGGATTTTGCTTTGTGGAGGTGGGTGTGTTTGTTTAGTATTTTTTGAGACAGGCTCTTACTATGTAGTCTAGGCTGGCCTTGAACTTGATAAATTGCTCAGGCTGTACTTAAACTTGTGATCCTCCTGGCCTCAGCCTTCTGAGTGCTCATAGTGCAGTCATGCGCCATTATGCCCATTTATCTCCTTGTGTGTGTGTGTGTGTGTGTGTGTGTGTGTGTGTATGTGTGTGTATAACTTTTTTTCCACAATGGGATTGTTTTACAGATTGCTTTCTATTTGTTAGTATTTGTGAGAGTTAACTTTGTGTCAGTTTGAGTAAGAAAAACTAACTAAATTGGATCATCATGGTTCCAACTGCGGCTAAAGGGATTTAATGAAAACAGAAGACCCACCCTAAGGCAGTTTATCATGGTATAAAACAGCGGAAACAAAAAAGGAAGGCTCTGTCTCCCATCTTCCACTGCAGGCCTTTCGGCCGGCCTAGAGATATGGATTCCCACAAACACCACGCTGAGCTCCAGGCCTTCCACGGGACCCTCCAGATCTCCAGCAAGCACACCTTTTGCACTCTTCCACACCTGATGCTGTGAGCAGCCACTGTAAGCCAATCTTGTAAATTCTTGTATATTTGTATATCTTGCATTAAATTTGTTTCTCTTATAAGCACTGATGACACAGTTATCTATAGATACATCTTGCTCATTCATATGGCTGTATAAAATGTTTCTGCAAACATAATTCCATAAAGATGGATATTTGGATTATTTATAGTTTTTTTTAGATGAAACAAACAATACTGTAATTCATTCAACAGCCAGTCAACAAATATTTATTAATTGCTGTCTATGCATAAGGCACTGAAATGAACAGGGACACGAATGACATGCAGAATTCTTAGTCTGCTGCCAGCTGAGAGTCTGCCTCCTCACCAGCTGCTGCCGGCCACCAGCTGTCCTGCTCCTCCACAATCGGGACCTCCTCTCTGTGGAGATCACCGACCGACCGTCTTATAGCTGTGTCCTAGCAGCTGTGTCTTAAGCAGCAGGAGCAATGTTACAGAGTCAGGAGGGAGGCAACAACCACCGGCTCAACATCTGGGACACATCTTTGACTACCCTGGGCAGAAAGGCCTGCATCTTCCACGCGTGACTTGGACCACTGGGGGTGGCCAGATGTTATTTCTGGCCAACCCATGAAATGGCTACTGTCCTTGTGGTGGGTCAGGCTCAAAGCACAGCCTCCTTCCTCCAGCAAGAACAAGATTTAACACTGCAAATTCTTCTGGAATCAGGAACCGCCATTATCCTTTGCAGTAACCATGGTCACCTGCATACCGAAATCACTATCTCTGCAGATTACTTGCTGTCTCACAGAGTTCATACTGATAATGAGGCAAAGAAGCCCACATGTGAAATACTGAGTGGTGTTAGGCCAGCTGAGCAGCTGCTCCCCTCCTCAGCACTGCTGCTCCAGGACAGTCAGGAGCGGGCAGGTTTCCTCACATAAGACTGCAGAATTTTAAAAGCTTTGAAACTTAGAGAGGTAACAAAGAGAACAAAGTATTGGGAGATGCTGGACTGGACTAGACTGAAGCAGAGTAATAGACAAAAAGCACCGGAGGGAGACTTGCCTGCCAGTGTTGGGGACAGAGGCTGCCTAGTGTCTTTTCT